CGTTAATACAACAAAAAGGACTGAGTTGAAAAAGAATTCTTAGCAGATGTGATCTTCTGTGATTTTGTTGCTGGGATCTTCTTATTTTGGTGCAGGCTTGGACGTAGGCCAGTACATCAGTGCAGTGTGTAGGATTTAGTGGCATCTAGCAGTGTAATTGCAGATCACAACCCCCTCGTCTCACCCTTGCGTTCCAAGCATGTAGGAGAAACTACGGTTTGTTGGCCAAAGGCCCATATCTAGAGCCTAGGGCTGGGAGCCTAACTCAAATTTAATGAAGATAGCTGTAAGTAAAACAAATTTTTGATACTCGTATAGTATTGAAGCATTCAGTCAGTGCCATAAAACTATCGAAGAAGCCAGTGTTGGGTTTGTCCCTTCTGGGCTACTGTAGAAATATAGTGGTTCAACATGGTGGACGTCACGGAAGGCAACCTGCTCCCTCTGTAGATAAAAATGTCTCATTCTAAGAATCTTTTTCAGGTTACTATACACTAGCCAGCTGAGTCAGGACTGCCAAGATGGCGACGGGCAGAGCCGACCACACTGAGTTTCACAACAGCTTTGTAATTATACAGTGTATGGGCAGGAGTTGCGCTTCTGTAAGTTGTTACAGAATTGAGTCTATAAAGGAACCTGCTTCCTCATATGCTGTAGAAGAGCACCTGACAGTACAGAGAGAACTCTCAACAGAGGTAAGAAGGAAACAGGATGTCTCACTTGTTAGCTACTTTAATTAATAGTACTGGAAAAAACAATGTGTTACCATCAGTGTTGGGTAATTGTGTCCTTTCTCCCCAAATGTCAGACTAACAAAGATTAAAATCCAGTTTTGTTTTCAAAAGGGAGGGAGGGGCCAACATTACATTTTTTAGGGAGGTTAACTGTAATGTTATTGTAATATCCTACCTAGTAGTGAGGAACTGCCCAACACTGGTTACAATGTAACTTTTTTATTAAAACTTCAGTTTTCAGTTAGCTCAGTTCTCTGAATACTGCGCCTGTTGTCGCTACACACGGTCCATGTACAGTATGTCTCACACATGCTTATAGATGTCATGTACAGTCACAATATCACATACTTCATCAGACTGCATTCAGAAGACGTTAAATCTTATTTTAAGAAGTGTTAATTAGGGTTAAACACATTGTTTTCTTTCCCGAGCTGATAATGGAAGAAGCGAGTGAGACATCCTGTTTCCTTCTCATCTACTTTATATAAAGGCTTCATTCTAAGGTGACGAAAACGCAACGATTCTTATTTTCAGGTGATTATACACCAAGGAAAACATTCCATTTCTGCCAGTAAATGTTAAATGTTACACACTGGCCCTTAAGAGCATTTTGGTGGCTTCACACACTCAGAAATACACTAGAATAACCAGGCGACAGCTGGGGGATCCCTTTGAACTGGAAAACTTGTAGGCTCCAGCCTCGATAATGGAGCGCCGTGGCTCGTTAAAAACTGAGGGAGGGCGTCCAGTCTGAATCAATCAGTCTCCTGTGTGTTCTTCACCTGATTCAATTAAAGCCTTTTCATAAAACTTAATGACTCTAATGCAGCACAGGCAGGGAGAGGCAGAGCGAGATAGGGACAAGGAAAGAATGAGTGACAATGCACATCAGTAACATCAATATTAACTAAACATTTTCTTTACAATGCAGAATATGAGAATCATTTCGATGTATACTTTATCAGAAAAGGGTGCACTGCTTCATGTTGTGATGGCTGAAAGCACTGTTGCATATCAGGGCTGCACCCTAGTGCTGAAAATGTGAACTGATCTGGTGGATTATCCTCCAAATCAAGCTCTGCAAGGCCAGTGCACAATGAGCGCAATTAGTTGATTAGTCACTTAGTCATTTTAATCAGTGGGCTCATGATCGCGTCTGCTTTCCCTCGATGAGCAGCCTCAAAAAAGCACTTCCCTGCTCCTTGTTGTCCAAAAAGTCTCTCCCAATCTGAAAAAATGTGACATTGATCTGGTGTGAACAAAGTGTTGCCATACCGTGTCGACACAATGAAATGGGCTACATTTGTATGGAAAGTAGCTCAGATAAAAAAGAACATTATTTCTGCTTGTTGCGGTAAGACACTGACAGAGCTCTGTGTGGGAAGATAAAAGCACATATCCTTTCAGCTTCGTAATTGCTGTGTAAGCGTTCCTCCCAGATCCTTCAACGTGAATGCGTATGGATTTATTGATCTGGTGCAGTTTTTAAGTGCACAAAGGCAGTTTTTGGGAAGTGTGTTTTTTCAGAGGCTACAACCACTAAGTTAGTGGTCAGTCTGATTTTTGAGGGCAGCGTGTATGTGTCTCCCTGAAATGATGCATGCAGAGAGAGAGGAAGATGTGCTCGCTCTGTGTTGTTGAACATTAACATAAACCTGAACCACTGGTGTAAAGCCATTCTGTAATCCGTACAACTACAGACAAGCAGTTCACAACAGTGCTATGATGACACGTTATTTCCTGTGAACAGATCTGTACGGGTACTTGATGGCAAAGCTCTGTTCTCTTGGTGTTACATTTACATCCACGTCAGTCATGAATCACAAGGAGAGGAGGAAACCAAGAAGAGGATAAGCCTAAATTTATTTAAACGCTTTGTCATGAAGGAGAGATGAAAGAGAATGAGAGAAACATTGTGTAAATGAGGCATAAACCTTTCTGGCTGGTTGAACCGATGAGGATTAAGTCAGTAAAAATCAAGATTTGAACCTGGGCTGAATCCAAACCAAATGAAATGTATCAATGGCTTTTGAAGTAAATTAAAAAAATATACACTCATAATTTAATCATGAAGCAGTTTCTGAGCCAAAAACCACATTCCTGGTAACTCTGTTACTCTAGAACTTGTGCTTCAAAGCTACAAAAAAGCTGCTAAATGCCCCCCTTGGTTCCCCAGTTAGTGGCTAACTCCTGTGTGCTGATTGGTGCTGGACAGGTAGTGCGTTTATCTGAGCTTTTTAGCTGGAAGTAAGTGCTTCATAGAGCTGGGAAGAGCTGCAGAGTTGATGATAAATTTCGATGGGGTCATCACTAAGCACCCCCCATTCACTTTGACACTGTCATTTGATCCATTGTCAGTAAGCAACATATCAATTAGTGCAGCTTTCAAGACTTTAAGGTCTTAAACTCAGCTAATGAGGAGAGATGGATGTGAAGGACAAACTGAATGAGTTTTAGTTCCTGAGACAGAAAATAGAGGCATTTAGTATTGCGTTCATCATTACAGGTAACATCAGTGAAAGTGCATTCATTTGTGAACAGTTCACTGCTCTCATTGTGTGAACACTTGATGAATGCCTGTGCTAGTGGTAGATGGTGAAGATTACCTTGTCAGTATGTTCCCAGTAGTGCTCTGTGTCTCTGCAGCCTCACTGTAGCCTTCTCAGTGGAGTTCTGCCTTTTGTGTCCATGTGAAACAATAGCCTGACTCCATTGCTTTTGTTAAACATCATTCTCCGTGTGTTACTAATGACTGTACAGCCTGGCACTCTCACCTCTTTGTGCCAGGCAAAAAAGCGTGCTAAATAAGAATATTCAGTGTTGACAGGGAAAAAAGAGATCCAGCTTGGCTTTATGTGCGTGTAAAAATTGTTGGGTTGGTTTATGAGATTTTGAGAACTCTCTCGAGAATTCTGTGTGCATTTCTGTTTTCTGATCTGCTTCCATTTTAACTTGCTGTTGAAGCTGGTTGCTGTTAATGCAAACTTAACACGTTCTCCATGCTGTCTTTATACATTTATAACATTTCAACAACTAATTCCATCAGTATACACTTCCTGCATGGCTATTACACATTCAAAGGTCTTCCAGCTACTCAAAAGGGCACAATTCCTAGTTGGCCTTTAATTTAAAGCATTTGCATGAAGTGTTTCATTGATGGTAGCTTGAGAGTGGTGGAAAAACAGCAAACGACTGGAAGCCATTGGACTTACAGTGAAAGAAAGTGTAACTGCATCAAACATCTCCAGAAAAAAATTTGATTTGAATCAAGTCAGGTGTGGTGAGAAAAAATGTAGATTTTATTTTTAAGCCACATGCCCTACAGTCAGTGCAACCTCAGAAATACAATGGATATAGACCAGTGTCAAGTTATTTTTTTTAGGTGAAACAATGCTAATTTGGTTAACATAAACAATCTTTTTTCCATGACCAAGAGAAGACGACCAAGATGATGACGAGCTAAAAACAGACCTTTGATAATAAAAACTATGACAAAATGTATGTTTTGTCTTTGTTGATGAGACAGGGTAAAAATGTTAGTGGAGGACTATCAGAAAGTTTAAAAATGTATGTATTTCCCCCCAATAAATAAGAGGATCAGGGTTTTTTAAGACCACCCACCCCATACGTTACAAGAGCCAATTCCCAACCTGCAGAAATATCTGTTAATCAACCATCTGAAGCCGACCAGACCCGCAGACTGCCATGGCTATGTATTGATCCTGGTCCTGGGAGCGGCTGACAGACCAACTGTTCTAAACGTGTCTTTTATTGTTGAGTATCAGTAAGTTTTGACTAAAAGTTGACTTCAATGTTATCACTTTCTCTTGTTTAAACTAAGTCTTGTGAATGCTGAATGTGCAATCAGCTACACTTATCATGTCTGCGCCTGTTATTAGTACAATCCTCCTTTACATTCATATGCATGAGGAGAAGGTGTGTGATCATTTCACTACAAGTGCACACAAGTTTGGTGCACCTGTCTGATGCTCTTTCCACAGATCTTCTTAAAATACATCAAACATGAGTTGCAAAGGGTTAGTAAATCCAAAGATGTAGAACGCTGTGCTGCAGCTGTTTGTTTCTCCAGTCATCTTTCTGTTTAACTTGATTTACATACATTTCTGAATCAATAAGGTTAAAATTCCACACTCCTACATCAAGCAGTTCATGTGCCAAGAAATCCATAAACTGCCCTTTTATTCAATTTGGACCTCAGTTTAGCCCAGCTATGTGCTCATTGCTGTTTCTCTGCTTCTTTAACAGCTCCTTTACCCAGTCAGTCAAAACCTGAAGGACTATGACTGATGGACTCATCTCCCAACTCAAGGTGATCCAGCTGGGAAGATAAAACATTTGTGACCCCTGTCTGACACCTCCTTCAGAAAAAATGAGGACTATCATTCTAGCTGTTGCATGTGTTCTCTGTCTGGGCCTGTCCCTGGATGCGTTGTCTTTGAGTGGACGGAGGATAGAGGCAGTAGACGGAGAGGGAGCCGAAGCAGCGATCAGAGGAGAGAAGTTGCTCAAGCGAGTGAGACGAGGCTGGATGTGGAACCAGTTTTTCCTGCAGGAGGAATACACAGGCAGTGACTACCAGTACATTGGCAAGGTAAGAGCTGTGCCACTGCCTCCCAGTTTCTGGTCACATTGAAATATCCAACATTGCATCACATAAATCCCCTGATTAGTTGCAAAGACTCTCATCAGTTTATTCTTCTTTCCTAAATTGCAGGCTTTATTAATATGCATTTATGCTAAAGTTTATCACTCTTTACCCATTTTGCACATGACTTCTGTGCCTGCGAGCATAATGAATTAAATCAGCTCATGAAAAAATGAAAAATCACACATCATCTACTATTCAATATAGTTTACACATGAAGATTTACACACAAAAACACACTGTTTTGAGATTATGCAACCTCACAAATGAATTCATAAGGAAAATGTATAGGTCATAAAGCCTGCATCCATGTTAGCAGATGGGACATGGGTCAAACTTAAATGTCAAAACACATATCAAGTAAATCTTGTATTATTTATCGAAATACATATGGTTTCTGTCAATTTAGGTAGTTCACACTGATGTATGTTCAAGTGTTCATTTCTCTGATAAGTTTGGTTTAAGTGTTTTGAAACTATAAAAGTGGCTTTCATGTCGGAATTGACACCTGAGCCCTGCTCAGGCATATAGAAGGGATCTCCATACCCTGGCGCCAAACCCGACAGTGGCAGGAAGTGGAAACGCAATGTCCATCTTTTATATGTCGATGACATATATATTACTGTGGCTAATGTTAGCTATCATTAGCAAACTTTAGGTAGATATTGCTGTGTAACTGCCATTACTGAGTCATTAATGAGACTTTATGACTCTTCCCTACTTGTACCACTAGTACACTATGCTTTAGCATTAGCACTGGCATAATCCTGTAGCTATCACTTGCAGCCACACAAATCAATATTGTTATATTAACAGTAGGTACAGAGTGTTGCTCATAGTGACAAGTCCAGGGTGGCACTGTTTGGTTGTTTTGGTCCTGATATAGAAACTGTTTGCTAGCTGCCTAACACCAAATGGTAGAACACATGGAAAATAATTAACTTTAAAAAGCCATATATACGCCAATCAGCCATAACATCATGAGCACTGACTGGTGAAGTGAATAACTCTGATTATCTGGTTATCATACCACCTGTCAGTGAGTGGGATTTATTACAGCAAGTGAACATTTTGTCCTC